ATGTTAAATTAATGTTGGAATGGTTAATCTAATGTTCTTGCCTTATTTGGTTAATTAACGTCGGAAGATTTAATTAGCTATTTATTGAGAAAATATCGTATGCCAAAAGGCTATGATATTCAAGTACAACGGATTAAGTACAAATCTAGAAATGGATGAGTAGTAATAGAAATATTATTATTCCAATTGTTAATTTAATATGATAAAATAGATCCAAATGATGTCCAGACCCTAGGTCCAGATCTATACTTATACTATGTAAACTTAATTTATTTATTATTTTTACTCTGCCTTTTTTATAATCGTTCCGAGAAGACTTTCATAAACCAGTCCTAACCTTCGCCTAGTTAGAGTAATTAAACTAATTCCCTTCGTCCACTCCTCGAGAGATACGACACTCGGAGAGAAAACTAACCCTTTGTTGGGAAGGTTTACTACCCGAAAAACTACAACTGTCACTACAGCAGTAAATATTTTCTAAAATTCATAAAATTAAATTAGATGTCCAAATAAATCTAATAAAATTTTATAAATTCATTTTATATACTCTGGATATTCTGCCAGCATAAAAAAACATCCAGAATATTCCAAATGACCAAAATGCCCCTTTTGCAAAATTATATTCAAAAAGGCCATTAAAATTTTGAAACAATTTTGCAAAAATCATGAAAATTAAATTTCAACTTCAAGTAATTATTTTAAACATTTATAAACCTGGAAATAAAATTTCCAAAATTTATAAATCATTATTTCCAAAATATATTAGTTAAATCTCAATAAGTTATAAAAAGCCATTTAAATTGATTTCGAAAATATTAAATTACAAAATATTAAATCTCAAAACATTCTTTTTCTTACTGAGATATAACTTTCCAAAATATATATTAGTCAATTATGTAATTAAAACACAAATATAGAAATATATATAATATTTCGGTAATAAAACCGAGTACACATATAAATATATATTTATTTAATTACTAACTAATATTATTTTGAACAATATATTTATCAACAACCTTATTCAACTTAGAAATAATATTTCCAAGTTTAATAAAGTTCATTTTGAATTTTCCATATTAATTTTCGGTTTTCACCTAAATAAATACAATAAATTCAAAATAGGAAATAATGCATTCAAAAATTAAAATATAATTTTATCAATCATAAAATGATGTTTTATGTCCAAATAAAATTATATTTACTATTTCTACAATATATATAAATATATATTTCAAAATATCAAAATATATATATTTATATATACTACGGGTAGAAATAAAATAAATAAATTTAAAATTCATTTTCAATGATTTATTTAAGTCCAATACTTATTCCAAGACTAAATAAAATCATTTTACCAATTTTTGAATTTTAATAATTACCAAGTTAAAACTTTGACTTTTAAAATTTTAAAAGTCAAACGTAAAACTATAGTTTTGTACGTTGGCTC